GACTTGGGGACAAGCGGACTGGGAAGATAGGAGGTGAAGTGGGCAGAACGGACTTGGGCACAAGCGGGTTGGGAAAAGAGGAGGCTTTAAGGCCGCTCTGCCCACCATATGTTCGTGTGCGACGTCCGCCACTCCAATTTCATCTCATAGCCCGTCCAGCCAAGCCGTGTTTTCTGCTGCTCGGGTTGGCGGTGACGGGCGGGAGCCCCCAAAGGCAACACGCAAGCACGCGCTCAAAAAAACAACGCGCCCAAGCCATTGAACTGCCGCAGCCCCAGATGCAGTGACAAGTTGTGTTTTGAATCCTGCTGGTTGCGCTGGCTGGGTCCCTTGTCGGGTGGTCTGGCCTCAAAACGAGAAAGGGCTTAAGCCAAGCTCACTCGCCATGAGTCTCACTCGTCCTCGCTGGTTCTTGCAAGCGTGTCCGGCCTAGCCAAGAAAAGGAGGCCCGGCACTCAACATCTTGAGGCCACGGAAGTCAAGCTTCCTCAAAGGATCCGGATTTATCCGGGACCCCACGGGCACTACCAAGACGAGGTCCACGCGAGCAGTCCCCAGGTCCTCAGACAAGCCCTCCTGCATGGCCAACCGCGAGGCCCCACCCCCACAATCGCCAGGGTGTGGTGTAGACAGGATTTCTCCTGCACACAGGGCCAGCTCAGCCGGGCCAAGCTGCCTTTCGTGCCACACACCCAGGATCATGAGCTAATTCTCGAATCGGGCCAGGCCCAACAAGGAAACCAGCGAGCGCAACTAGCGAATCCGCAACACAACAAGCCACAGCATCCAAAGCATTGGAATTTCAATGACTTGTGTTTTATCAATTTGTCACCGCGGCACTGCAGGTCTCAACCACTGAGAAAGCTGAAGCCTCTCCTTCTGCGCGAGACTTCTGTCATGGTCTTGCGGCGTGCCATTCGCTCACCCAGAATATAACAACACTGAAAGTTCAAACCATTGACAAGTATCTGCTTCAAGCCTGTCTCTCATAAACGTGAGCTCAAATAGGCACTGGCCACTGGCCATTTATCAGCTTTCTTTCAGCTTTGCTCACTGCAGGCATCCGTAGACTATGCAGGCAATTAGGTCTAGGTCTGGCAACATTGAAGGCCCTTCCACTCCCTGAAAGAGTCAAAAGCAAAAAGGCAAAAAGGTGGACCACTTCTTCAATTGAAAAGCAAACAAACATAAATTTGACTCAACACCCAACTACGGCTCAACTTTCATTACCCAGTACAAGTAGGTTGAAAGAAGGCGTAGTTTGCATTTGAGAGCCGTCGCAGCAAGTTCGCACCACTTCTGTCGAAAATGAACTTTGGCACGTGGGGTTACCTTCTTTGAAGCAACTGTCGGGCACAACCCCTCCAGGTGGCGTGGCCTTTGTTCGGAGAATGAAGAAAACATGGTTTACTAAAAGCCTTTGTCTTTCCCGAAGTTATGATAGATTGCAACCATGTGGCGATGACCTCCTGGGTGTTGGTGATGTATTCACAATTTCTACACTGGTTCCGAATTCATTGATCATTGATTAGCCTTGGTCCGGGTGTAAGGTCGTCCCCAGCTGCTTGAGGTTGGAGCCTCTTTGGCATCCAAGACAAAACATCAAACACACCAAATCTGATTTGCTTACCTGATAGTCCACGAGTGTTGTCGGTAAGGACCTTCATGGAATATCTAGCTTCTAGATGATGTTTTCTAATCAATTTGATCTGTATCTATTTGTCGATGGCTTATGCTAATGCCGAGCTAAAATATTAGGCCTGCGGCCAAGACTGAGTACTGAGTGATAACGATCTCCAATTTGGCCTTTTAAACCACATTATCAAGTCTATCCCCGCTTGAGCTGTGTTTAAACAATGTGCCCAAGATACTGAATTAATTAGTCTGTAGGTCTGTGTCCTCTGATATGGTATAGGTACTCCCACCCGCACTGATGCCCATCCCTGGCGCACAGCCCCAGGTGCATCGCCCCGGCACAGCCCCCGGTGCTTAAAAAGCGCTCACTCACCAAAGGCGCCAAAACCTTTGCCGATCGCCGCGAAGGCTTTGCACAGCTGGGTGTGGATTTCAAGTCCACAAAGAACAAACTAGGCTCAAATTGTATGAGTGCTCCCAGGATATATCACTACATACAAAAATCACAAAGAGGATCAAAGCAACAGTAAATATTTTGGGAATGTGATCGCTCCCTCCGCTTCACACATGTTTACATGTAAATTAGATCAAGGGACGGACGTCAACGGATGACTGCAAGATTCCCCCACAATCCTCCGCCGCCACTGAGAGCCCCATGGTCTCCACAGGGTCTGGCATTCTAGGGCTGAAGCAACCTTTGCACTTCACACCCTGAACAAATATAATTAGTGACATTTGCTGAAACTTGTGCTTCTGCTGCTCGCACCTCGCCCCAGTATTTATGCTCCCAAGCAGCTCCTTCTTTGTATTCATCATCTTCATCATCCGAAGTGATTTCTGTCTCATGCATCCACACCGTGCACTTGCCATAACTAAATTTAAGGATAATTTCGGCATTTGTGTTGAACCCAGAGGGGGCGTTGCTATCATCGTACCCCTTTGATTGAAATGTGCCATCTGGCAACGGAGAGACTATGAGGGACAGGAACTCATCTTCTTGAAGAGGTTTCTCAAGCTTCACGGTATCATCTAGAATTTCTGTTCCGTGAAGAATCCTCATTCCTCCAGCTGCAGTTCCCAAGGCTGCCTCAAGCTTGGCTTTCAAGTCCTTGACAGTTTCGTGCGACTCAGCAGGTACAATGACCTCCTCGCTTGCAGTTGTCGCAACCCTCAACATTTGGTCCAGCACGGGGTGTTGCTCGCGTAACAGCCGTAACAGGCCAAGCAAATGGCACAAGCCGAACAAAGCTGGAGCAGCGAACAGCTACCAAGGCATCAGCCACAACTGCCAAAAAGGGCGGTCTACACAAAATGGCTTGCCAATTTGCCACAACACCCTTGCACACATTATTATTAATGTTTTAGTTTTCAATATAAATATAAATATATATATATACAGTATGTAAATATGCACACGCACACACCAAATGCAGTACGCCAAACATCCTACCAAAACTATCAATACAGTAACTGAAGGGTGAGTACACTTTCGTGAGGAACATGCATTGTGCCAATGCCCTGCAACAAGTTCGTTCAAGTCGAGCAGCTAATGTTCAGGTTGTCTTGCAAACCGTTGCCGACTCATAAAGGCCATTTGAAACCTTGGAGGAACTGAGGGGATATGAAGGAAGCTCTCCATAGAGGCTTGTATGAGAGTTGCACCGAATGTGCTAATCCTGGGAAAAGCTTGAAAAAGCCAAAGCTGAGGCCAAAACCTCAGAACAGACCGCGGAAAGCACCCTTCTAGGCAGCTTGAACCGTGTCTGGAAAGCAACAGGCAAATTGTCTGATCGTGCTTGACACCGTTTGACACGACGTCACGAGGCAAATTGAAGCCTCTTTGAACGACTTTTTCGGAACAAATTCAAACTCCACATCCAAAGCAAACGCCCCCAAAACGGAGCCGGTACAGTGCCAGATTTTGAGATCACGACCCTCTTACCGCTACGTCATGCTACGTCCAAAGCTTAGTGCCGGGATGCAGCCGGGATTAGGTTCCAGTGTGTGCTGCCCAAACTAGATCAAATTATTTATGGATATTTATGGTTTGAACATCTTGACCTGGAGTTGTTGCGCCCTTTTTCCTCAGCTAAGCTACTTGTTTGAGCGCGCAAGCCAGCACTGCTCAGAGGCGGAGGTTGACATATCAAAATCAGGCGTTTCAGTATATTGTGCTGGACAACAGGCAGCTGAATGTCAGTACACAGTGAGTGGATGAGAGAAGCATCCTAGCTTGCAAATGTGAGAGCATCTCTGGGCTTGAAACCCAGGGACTCAATTTGACTCTTGGGCGAGACTCTGAGCTCCAACGCTGTTCAGAGATTCGCGATGAGTACCAAAGCTTCCCCGCTCCAGGGCTTGTAAGCGAAGGCGGCGCAATTCCTCGCCTGATGGTTTCAATGCAGTTGGCCCGGAAGGTCTGGAACACATAAACCATGTAGCAACAGCAACAGAAAACGACGTCCACAAAAGGAGACTGGCATAATTGGTGTCGATTGCATCTGTATAGGTGGAAATCGTAGATGGGCTTGGGACTCCGGAATCAAAAACGAATACTGCATATGGCGGCATGGTCAATATCGCAGGCTGACCCTTCTGCAAAGAGATCTGACGCGGCCTTTGGTCAGGAAAGGGAGTGTTCAATTGCAAAGTTGTTGCCACTTCGCTGTTGGGCAAATTGAAGACATGAAGTACATCCAGCTCCACAACTTGCGTAAAGGTTGAAGGGTTCCGGAGCGTCAAAATTGCAGAGCTTTGCCACCAGGCAGCCCAACCGTAGATTTGCCCTTTGGCTGGATCACCTCCAAACCACTGCACATCTGAAAGCACATCCAAACGGCCAGAAGCCCACAAAGCTGCTTCTGCCAAATCATCCCAATTCTCGCTCGTCAGAAGACTCGGGGTCAAATAAAGCTCTTGCAACATTGCCCCTGATCCAAAAGCTGATCGCACTTCATTCTTAAATGGATTCCTTGACAAGCCAGTGCCTGAACCTTCAGGTGCATTCAAATCCCATGCATCCTGTGCGAAGATGATGCCGTGGATCATCAATGAGTTTAGAGGAAACAGTGGCGACTCTAGAACTACATTCTGATGCACCATAGCATCACGATATGTTATCCACCGTTCACGTGTGGGGCCAGGTGGTCCTTCAAAGTAATGGTCATGACCCCTTCGCCAAACGGTGTCTGAGTGAAGGAGCCAGAATGGGGATGGCCACGTGCCTGTGGAGAGATTGATAAAAATATCACTCTTGACCTGGCGGAGCGTGGCAATCAATGTCATAGCAAACATAAAGTCTTCTTGCAAGGTTTCAGACATCCCCGACGGGTTGCCAATGCCATCCAGCTTGAAGAGCCTGGCTCCTTTGGATATCCACTTCAACAATGTTGAATGCAAATGTTTGTAGTACTCTGCAATGCCCAGGCCCAAATATGACGATCGCACACTTGGGTCAAAGCAAACATCAGCATCAAGGGCTGTGGACAAATCGATGCCAGGTGGGCTTACATGATGAGTGGTATGCCAACATTCCAGCTGACCCTTGCAATCATCGTTGCTGCGACAACTCCCCTCTCCCTCACCGCAAGGAGATGTCTTGGAGCAAGGCACGCCCGGTCGAAGGGTAGCAGGTATTCGTTCTCGTACTTCTTCTCGCACAGGAATGCCAGCAAGTCGAGCTGCTTTGACACGTCTTTGCCTCACCGGCACCCGCTTTGATCAGCGTACAGTACATGCTTGCTTGTCACATTCTTGGAATACAAGAATTGGCATATTCACACTCTCCATACCCCAAGAAAACAAGCTGGGCAACCAGCGTGCTTAATGTAGCCTGGCTACCCCTCGTATATTACAGGTGAAGCTGTTGCCTCGAATTTGGCAAACATTGGGGGAAAGAATTGGCAAATCCACTCCGAGAACCAAGAAACCAAACGGGCACGACAGAGCGTGCTTACTCTCCAAAGCCCTAGACGGACAATAGTGACGGACAATAACTTGGAACAAAGCTTTGTGCATGATGAGATGATCTTATTACAGTGCCACAAGTGAAGACAGGAAAGGATGAGCATCCACCAAAATGTTCAAAGTGTGGTGTGCTGTCCAAGTGCGGGGGTTCTATGTGGAGTTATTGCCTTTTACAACAAGCGATATTCTACGTATTGGTCCGTCGCAATGGCAGCAAATTACCGAAAGGGTCACTGGCAAGAGTCATTGCAAATGGACATGAAGCTGACTAGTCCCGCACCAACCTGTTGAATACCTGCAGCCGTATGGGTTGGAGAGATGGAAAGGCAGGCGCGTCCAGAAGCTGTATAATTGGCGCGCTTCACACGAAGCAGGGTGAGCATCTCCTAGTGGAGTCCTCTCAAACTGAATGTGCTCTGCATAAATGGGAAGCACATGAAAGAACATTCAGAAAACAAAGGAACGGCAAAAGAACAAGGGAGAAGCAGGAACAATGGAACAACTTAAAAGCAGCATGACAAGAAAAAAGTGCTGGAGAAGGAGCAGCGCGGAGGTTTAGATTCGCCTCTGCACTGGCACAAAGGGGGCGAGCCGGGGCCTACAAAGAAGATTCAAGGGAATACATAAATGGTTCAGCACGAACGTGTAATTGAAGCAATTTATCCTCAATACATTGTCGAACTGAAGTGCGCATCTGCCAACCTGATGTCTCTCTGAAACAGCCTCGCTTTGTGGATTCCCCATGGGTAGATTTGTCCAATGGGTGCAGTGGGTGGTGGAGGGCCACTACCCGGTCTCGAACGCACCTCTGTTTCAAACCTTGTCATTGTTGTTGCAACATTGGCGCCTCGGTTCGTGATAACCTCCAAATGGAGAAAACCACATGCCAAGCCCAGTCTTCAAATGCCGCGCAGTTTCCTCTAGGCGAAGCAGTTCGCTTGCATTGAAGCCAGCATGCGGCTCCCACGGGCCTGTATCAGGATCATCCCAGCCATCATCAAGAAGGAAAGCATCCAAAGCAAGACCTCGCTGGCCCAGCTGGTTTGCAATTTCTTGCAGTCGAGACCGGACCTCTTTGGCTGAATATGTCTGACCTGTCCCGATGTCATACCATGTGTTATAGTGAAGCATTCGGCGGGAGGGGTGAGCTCGCTCACGTTCCAAGTACTGGAGGAACGATCGCCGTGTTTGACCAGGTACGCTTGCACCCAAAACTAATGTGGCACGAGATGTGGACGCACTCAAGTTGGTTTTGCCAAGCTGAAGGCAGCATGTGTAGACCCAATCAGTATTGACAGCATTGGAGCCGGTCGGATGTTCAATGCCAAAGAAGAAATCATCAGAAACAATTGGAACCCCTTCAACTTTCCCGGCTAGAGTGCCACCTTTCAAAACACCATTGAGAAGGCAAAGCGAGGTCAAGTGCCCTGATGCGGCATGCTCAAGGTGCAATGCAATTTTCACATAATTAGAGCCATCACGGAGTTCGATTGACCACTTTGCCTCCATTGGCCCATCCAAGTGGACTATGATGCGCCATCCGCTTTCCTGTTGGCTGAGCTGTGATGCATTGGGTTTTCCTTCGAGGTGCGCCAAATTTACGTCCCGAACGTAAAACTGATTGCTTGTAAGATTGCTATCCTGGGCCTTGGCCTGGAAAGCATACGCTGGCAGTGGAAGAGAAAGTCCGGAGATACGGTTTGTAAAGTCCAGCGGCTGAAGTACTCCATTGTCAATCGCAATCTTAGCCTCTAAGACATCATTTCTCAAAAGGTATCGTTCCCTTGACTTGGCAACACCCTCTGCAGGCCCAGCTTCAGGTAGAAGAGCCCCAGACTGGCAAAGAAACGCGGCCAAAATTCCAGAAAACACAAGACCCATTTGCAAATCTGATCTTGCTAAGATCCGATGGCCCAGCTGCGGCAAAGACATTTTTGGTCAAGACTCAATGAAACAATGATAGCCAAAGCAACGAGGGCATGCCGGGCGTGCGGAAAGAAAGTGGTGGCGCTCTGTTTTCAACGGATTGTTTTCCAACGCTCAGCTTCGCTGCAGCGGCCAGTGTGATACCACCTAAGTGCTCCAGGTAACTATCACTCCCGCCATCGCTGAGTCAATTGACGGAAAAAAGCGATTGACCGCAATTGTAGGTCCTGCCGGGTTTAGCTTTGCTTCTTGAGCTGGGCAAACTCAGTGGTTGTACACTCAGCCTAGAACGTGTAGAAGCTGCTGCCAAACCTGTCAAACCAGCGGAACAAAATCCAAAGCTGAACCGAAGCTCCAAGGCAGTTTACAAATTCTAGTCATCCTCATATTACAGTAGGTGGAGCGTGGGGGAATCCCAGTCATTAGGAGCCTGCCTGCTTGGAACTGCTTATGCGGGCGAACGCGTTTACATATTTGTCACTGCATGTGCTGAATCATTGAAGCCAACTCAGCTTGAAACTTTTGATGAGCTGCAGGCCATTGACCACTTCTCTCACACGCACTGATTGCTGCCTCGTCAGGTTGGGTCTACCTCGTGCTCCTCTGTGTCTCTAAGCCACATGCCACTTCGGGAAGCAAAAAAGCTGGTTGAGTTCAACAAGTCAACCAGTTGGTTCAACTGATTCCATTCTTGTGCGATGGTCATGCCATGGTTTCTAGTTCGAGTCAAATTGCCCTCTTCAGCATGCTGAGGCATTCACATTCAAGGTATTGCTTTTCCAGTCTACACGCTGGGCATGCATCTTCGACATGAAGTCTCGGCTTGCTACTCTTTCAAGAGCAACGGCGCAATTTATGGAGATTGATTGGTTGAGCGTCTGCATCGTTCGGTATTCTATATGTAGGCAACCGGCTGAATGTGAAGTAGCAGGTGGTTGACAATATCTAAACTTATCCATGCAAATGCCAAAAGTAGAAACCCGCCCCAAGCTTAGTTCTCCGCTAAGAGCACGTCGCCATTGCAAACTCTTCTCACAAGCCATAATGCATGCATGGTAGGTGATGGCGCAACTCTGCAACTCAGCAACCCAAGGATGAAAGAGTGCACTGCTCTTGGCTGTGCCAGTATCGCTACTTGGTGCCGGGCTTGGTTGCGAGACATGTCGGCAAGCAACAGCAAGGCATGCTGCCACTGGCCTGCTTCGTCACAAGCTGCCTGTGCAGGCAAAGCTCCAGCCAAGCTGGCGAAGCAGCCGAACCTCTTAGCCCTTCTCCATAGCAAACTCAAGAACCCCGGACCTAAAGCTGCACAATGCCAAGATTAGTCCAAGTCACAATGCAGGCGTTGTAAGTGATTGCACACCTGTCTACCTTGCAGAAGGACACATCTGTAAGAACCACCCTCCCCCGAACTGGATGATGTCACACTCCACCCGTTCCTCAACCAAAATATCCGATCACGGAAATACATCACCCTGAGAAAGTGACATTCAAAGCCTCCATTTCCGCCACAAATGTTAAAGCACGCTCCCACTCATGGCCCTTCTCGCAAGCACCTCAAATGGAGTGGAGAACTCAGAAAATCTAATGTGAGAATTCAATGGTATTGTTGCTTAACCCCCTCCACTTTGCAAGGATGACGACCAGGCCATCGAAAATGCTGAAAATAATGTGTTTCCTGGTGGCATGCCCTGTAACTTAATGCATGCAAGCTTGACTTCATCCTATCATGTGCCTAGCTTGGCTACAAACCTGACACATCACACCTGACATCCACACAAAGCTTTGAGGTTTGGTCGTCTTTAGTCTTTATATAAGGCATGTTTCCTAGTGCCTCAAAAAGTTTGGGTTTGGGTGTAGCTTAGGCATCGTGCCAGTGTTCAGAATGCCAGCATCGCATCAGCATGAAGCTAGCAGCGTTCGGGTTGCCCGCGGGGCCATTCAAACAGCAATTAGATTCAAGCACCATTATGACATCCGCGGGCACCATGCGGACTTTGGACCTTTCTTGCTTCTATGACTTGCATATCTTCACGCGACCTCGTAAGTAGGCGTCGGCTAGCACAGTATAGCACAGTGGTATTATGATGTTGTGCGTCCTCTCTATCCAGTGTGCCGTGTGAGATGTCGTGTGCAAAGCAAAGTGTGCAACTCGTGGTGTGGATGCTTAAAAGGAGCAGGAGCGGAAAGCGGCAGGCCGCAGGATTCCAAATAAGAACGCCACACAGACATGCAGGAATAGCACGCGGAAAAAAAGTTCTTGCACATGGATATGAACTTGAACCAGAAGCCTTCCAAACCTCCCAGATCCTTCCAGAATCCTAGATCAGCTTGGCCATTGACTGATGGTGGCATTGTAGGTGATGGATGATCTAGGAATTCTGCAACCTGGCGACTAGAACGAGCTGGTGGCAAGTGCAGGTGCAAATTAAAGCTTTGAGCTCGGTTTCCTTTCAAGACGCCAAATATGACACACAACCTCAAACTACAGCAAGAGCACCAGTGCCTTCCATCTCGTGAAACAAGGCAAGAGCGTGCTGCCATTGTCCAGCTTTCTCGCACGCACTGCCAGGGATCGGATTGTGAATTGAACAATTGCAACGAATTTGTCCATCTGCACGACTCAAAACCTGTCATGTGGCCTCTCTTGAGTGGATGCCACTAGTTTCGGGGATCTTCTCTAACTTTTTCCAGTTCTCTATGTGTGCAGTCTATGTACCTTGTATTTACAACGCTTGGGGTGTGATAGTGTCAGAGTTGCGCTTTTGTCAGGGTTTCTTTCGCTTTCACTTGTGGGTTGTCCTTCTTTGGGGTATCTTTGGGTTTGGCTTGCGGTTTTCGCTTCTACAGGGTTTCTTTTGGAGTAAGTGTGGGGTTCATTTCTTAGGACTCTTGAGGTTGGCTTACAGTTTCACTTTTTTCGTGTTTTTTGGTTTGGCTCAGTGCTAGCTAGCTAGCTAGATTGCTTGCTTGCTTGCCTGAAAAAATGGACCAACAGATCTTGCAAAAACTCACCAAACAGTGCAAACAAAACGCACAAAACAACTGCAATTGTTGTGCTTCGCTCGCAACTCGGGCCAAATTTTACTCATGACTCATGAATGAAGCTGTTGCAAGGTCTTTGTTTCTCTCCATCTCATCATCCGGCGCGCCTGATGCAGGCATTGTAAACGATGCCCTCTTTTTCAGCATCTGTTTGGGCCACATATGATCTCCACAAGAATGGCTGATGAGCCTCCGTGCTGAATTCCACAAATGACAGAACCAGGGGCAAATGAGGTTTGATACCGTTTCCATCCCGACAATCTGCAGTGTTCAAGTATTCAAGTTGTCAGGCAATCTAGGGCAGTCGGGAGGTGAGTTCAAAAAACGTCCGTGGACAAACACCACTGGCAGTCAGACTGGGCTTCGCCCTGGCTTTTGAAAATAACAACTACCAGGACCAAAAAGAACCACATAAACTTACAGTTTGAACGGCAGCACGCCAAAGGGTACCAGAAGCGTGGCACAAAGGCCAACCGCCTTGTGCAGCAAGAGTGTGGCAAGGAGCCGTGCAAAGTTACAAGATGTCAATCATAAAAACATGAATTAGTAGTAACAAGTGCCACGCTAGTAGTAACAAGTGCCTTACTAGTAGTAACAAAAAACTATATATTAGAATTAATTTAACAAATTAAATTAAAACATGCATCTCTGAAACCTTGGGTCTCGGACCTTGGGATCTCAAACCGCGGGTATCGGGCGGGTTTCAGGAATTTACCTTTCGCATCTTGGCTCTCCCATCTCGACTCTCGGATCTAAGTTGGGCCTGGGATCTCAAAGATTTCACGTGGCGGGTTCGGTCTCCTAACGATCTCGTCTCAATCTGGGGTCTGGATAATCTGCTCACAAAGTCTGAGGCCTCGGGTAGCGGACTGTGGACCTCGCATATATTCCTTGCCCTGCTTTTGACCTTTGAGCGTTGACCCTTGCCAGAGAAAACAACCCACAGACTGGGACGAAGGCCAAGCTGGCCAAAGGCGCGGTGCAAAAAGCCTGCTGGTCGATGCTGGTCGCACGCCGAAGTGTTTGCGATTTGCGATTTGCAAAGAGCCTGCTGGTCGCACAGGGAAGCTCGACGCACAAAGCTGCAAATGAGGCAAACCGCGCAGTGGACCGCAGGCGGCATTCTGGGAGCCGTGCTTTCCTGTGGCACAGTGGCCGAGTAGATGTGTAGGGGTGAGCAATTGGAATTGGTTAGTGACTAACAGTTAGTTAGTGTATGTGTTCGCGCGGCAACTTGAAAAGGGTAACGCCACCATCGGTTCCAATGCGCCAGATTGTGGAAATGCGCCCAGGCACGCGTGCATCCGAAGGGGGGGCCCAAGCTTAAGGAGGCAGTCTGGCTTGCCACAGGGATGTCCCAGCTCCTTGTGCGAAATCTTCACATTGTGGGGCGGTGGCTCCGCTTAGAGTCTTAGAGGAATTGGTTGGCGACACCAAAGATTCAGCGGCCGGCCTGCTTCCTGACTGACCGCTTCCTGATAGGTCACTTCGTGTCCGTTTGTAGGAAAGTGGCGCCTGAAGAATTGCCGCCCCAGGGCAAGCAAACTGTATTCTTGCACGGCCCTCCCTCCTCCAATGACTACCTTCTGATGTTTTTTTGACCGCAGTAATACGGCCCAATGAAGTGAAGGATTTGATTGCGCAGGCGGCTGCAACCTTGATCCGTTCTGCCAACACCTTCTTGAACATGGACAGGGCTGGATACAAGCCTTTGCCTTTGATGGCAGCAAAGCAGATGGGGAGTTTCATGCCAAGCAGTGTGATCTCCAACTCTTGGCTCTCATAGGCTTGATCGCTGTTGGTCATGGCAGCTGGGCAAAAGTTCAATATCTTGACGTTGGCGGGCAGCAGGCTGCAGCTCTTTTGTTCGGACGTGTCGTTTGAGCAGCTACAGGTAGCTGTCCCGAAAGATGAAGCTCGAGTGGAGATAGATGAAGAAAATTCAGACGTTGTCTGCCATCGTGGAGGTTTTTTAGCGTTGATCCCCTTTCAAATATCCATGATCTCAACAAAAGCCCGGAGACTCCACCAACCCAGCAGGGTAGCCGGCCTTCCTAGCAAACGAAGCTGAAGCGCGAGGAGCAATCTCAGGCACTCACCCAAGTGGATCTGGGCATATCTGGGCAATCCTCAAGAACAATCGCCGCAAAACGATCGCGGGAGTGCCTCCTATTGAGCCATGAATCGCGCGCGCAGTGGCACCAGGTCCATGAATCGGCGACCTATGAATGCTCGCCCCGTGATACAGGCCCTTGCGATATCTGGCAATTTAGGGCGCCATCGTTTCGGGCAGAGATTGAGATTGATGATCTTCCGGCCAATGAGGCGAGGCGGGTCTCGGATTTCTGGCCTTGCATCTCGGAGCTCGGGTTGCGGACCTCGGGTCTCGGAGCTCAATTCTCGGACCTCGCCATTGTCAAGTGCGTTCTGAAAATCAAAAGCAGGTGGCATCCAGCACCCAAGACCTACATAATGTCTCAAGCATGCTGATGACTACAGTGGTATATTATCACTCCAACTCAGCCTTGGCCTCACCCTGCTTGAGGTTCAGCTGCCGATGCCTAGTCACTCAATTCTTGGATCATCCTTTGATATTGTCCCGCTGAAGTATTTGTTGCGGCCATGAGTGAAGGCATACGTGGAAACTTGTGCCTTTTGTGCGCTTTTGGACTGCCAGAATCTTATTTCCAAGAGCAAACTGTTCGACGCCTGCCTGGCCCCCTTCACTGCAATCCATGTGAGGCCGGGAGTCCTCCCACAACTCCAGAGCAGGTTTCCAAGTACAAATATTTCACAAAGCGTCCTGTGCATGGCCTACCAGGCTGCCAAGTGACAGGGGAAGCATGGCTGATATTGGCTGCAGGCTTGGTGGTCTATTCTAATGCGTGCCCCAAGGTTGTTCCTTTCAACTTTCACCCATGGTACTTGTAAATTGGAATGCTGAATTAGTGTAAATAGATGAGCTGTAAAGTCAGCGCCAGCCCGTCCCCAAATGGAAACATGCATTTCTTCTGTCAAAGCTTCTCACGTTGGCAATGCCTTAGAGCCTGTTGCTGTGGCAGTGGTAGTGTGGTCATGACACAAAATGGGAGTTGCAGGACGGTAATCGCTATGCACCCGTGTTTTTTCCTCCAAGTTGTCTGGCTTCAATTGCTGGAGCACTTGTGCCTGCATGACGTCAAACTCCATGAGAAAGTGGCCCCCTATCAAATTCTCACTTATCAAAAGATCGCTAGATAGCAGTGGCCTACCTCGGTGCCTGGCCTTTTGAACTTCCAGAAATCGCATAGTCAAGAGTTATGGCATCCTGCATAACCAGGTACGTGAACACACACGAGCCCTACTCGAAAGACACAAAGCCAGCCTGAGGCACCGTTCTTCGCGACATGTGTTGCAGAATCTCAAGCCCAACCTGTGCCCGGGGGCGCTCAACATTCTGATCTTTTTGCAACATTGTCTTCTTAGATCTTTTTCCCCAAAGAGTTCACTGTTGGGGTTCTATCTTAGAAAACAAGAGCTGGCCACACTCACTGGCCGCGCCCCTGAACTCTGTGGCTGGGCTCTGGCAGTGGGCGTGAAGCTCACACGGGTCCACATAACCAGCTGAAATGCCACGCCGCCAGCATACCTTCTCAAGCAAAAGGACAGGCTCAAGGGCCCTCAAGTAGTTGGGCCATACACCGGCACGGCAGGTTCAGGACCGAACGTGAGAAGGTTGCATGCCGTTCGACATCCTTGACGGGGGGGGCCTTCATGTTCGGTGGAGGTCATGTTGGTCCTGCCTATCTGGGTGACCCGAAGGGTCTCTCCACGTTGAAGCACCACGAAGCAAGGGGGCATGTGTTCCTCGGCGTCCTTGGCGCCATACCCAAACTGGGTCTCCCTCGGTGAACTTCAAATCTTCTCGAGCTCGACGAGGGCGTGATCTCAAAGCTCTCTGGAGTCTCTCGCTGGAGTCCAGCTCTACAAGCGTTTCTGGCAGCCTGTCTGATTTCTTCTGCTCGCTGCCATGCCTGATCTGCAGTGGGTGATTGCGACTTGTCGAACATGCCACTGTTGTTGGTGAGCTCCATGGCGATGGAAGGCTGTCGCCCAAAGACTCGCTGTGCTGCTGCGGTTGCAACGCCCAGGAAACCTAATAGATCATATCCTGGACTTCAGTGACATCGCTCTGCCGGGGGCTTGAGCAACTGAATCAAGCGGTCCCAATCCATGAAGCGGTGGCTGGCCAAGGCAACGAAGAGGTTTTCACGTCCGTTGCTCAAAATTCTGAGCCAAAACGGAATGGTCCACAGATATTGCTGATGGCCGCGGCCGAGGCAAACTTCATAGTAGTCATGACGAGGGCGAATGGCAGCGCCTTCACGTTTGAACTGGCTAAGCCCAGGAATGCGATCTGTCCAACGAATGTTCCAACATGTTCCAACGAGGTGCTTGATCTGGGACAGCGGGCCGAGTAGTGGAGGCGGCAGCGGTCGTCGCAGCGGAGCGCTGAGCAGGTCCACTAGGTAGGTAGTAGATGGCTGGATCCAATGGATGTCACAAGGTGGTCGTCGCGCCGTGTTGTCGGGGCTGGCGTGGTGAGGTTGTGCCGGAGCCGAATGCATGCGAGTGGACGATGTCGGAACTCGTCTCGAGAGATGTTCAAAGTCCCGGTTGGAGTCGCCGTGGATGCCGCTGCCTCTGCTGTCATCTTCTGTTCTGCCTGCTGAAAGGCATACACCTGCCGCTCCAATTTCTCCCGCTACTGTTGCAAACAAACGTCTCACCTGTCAGAACCTCCAGCATGCATTGATGGGCCTGCGTGGAAATGAAGGTGTAGAGCCGCAGCAGCAAGCGCCGCCAACGGGCCAGCGAAAGGCATGGCTTGCCCATCCAGTAGGTCAAGTGTGGCCCAGTCGGGAATGGCCTCCAGGGACCACACTTGGCTGTTGGAGAAGGCGTGGGAAGCAGGCACGTGAAATCTGCGATCTCCAAAATCACAAACGTTCATGGAAACATAACCTGTTGGCCGCCTCGTCATTTGCAAACAAACACCAATTTTCACGAACATGATGGCGCAACTCTTCATGTCGATCACGGCTTTGAGGTCGGCCAACAGGTACGCCGGAAGGAGCATGGGGACGTCACCAGGAAGCACTTGAACCCGTAAAACACCGCTCTTCCCTCCAAGACGAATGGGGATGTAGCAAATCTTGGTGGACGCCTCTTGACCGCAAACACCATGAACCGAACCACCATGTTCACTGGTCCATTGAACTTGTACCCCATGACGTTCTTGAAGCACACGATCATGCCTTTGGAGGGTGTTGTGGCCAATCAATCCATGTTGGGCTTCCGTATCAACCAGGGCAATCAATGCCTTCACGTGCAACTGAACCATGGAAAACAAAACTCAACGCAGCAAAGCGCACCGTGTATTTTTCACTGGCTTCAAGTGCCCTGTCGTTCATGGCGAGAAACTGTCCACTCCAGCTTGTTGCCGGTGGCGAAAGTAAGAAACCTGCTGTCGTTCCAGCAGCAGATGCTCCAGGTTTTCCAGGTCCAGCCCGTTGCTGCGGGCATTCCCTGCTCCAATGCCCATGTTTGCACCGGTGACGTTGTGTCTTGGCCTTGATCAAGATATCCACCGCGGCCAAATCCAGGTGTGTTTGCATTGTGCTTGCCTCCCTTGCCTTTCTCGCCGTCGCCCTTTTCACGGCCGAAGTGGTGCAGCCGTTGATGGGCCTCATAGAAAACATCCTCCAAGCCCCCGCAAACAGTGTCCATGGCCTTCTGCTCGTCCCATGATCACAGGAAGCTGGTGAAAGTCCAGCTGGGCCTCACTTCCATCATCGTTGAGGCAAATGGCCCTAAACTGGAGCCGGCTCAATCTTGTAGTCGACATACTTCTTGCTCTTGGGCGAGGCTGCATCAGTTTTGGCGACGTTCCACCAACGGCCCGGTCGGAGACCTGGGAGGCCCCGCTGGCGCAGAAGCAGCCGCCGCCCAAGGGTCTGGTAAATGAGGGGGTTCATGATCGCCGGATCCAGGAGGGTCATGATCGTCGTGTTCAGGGAGTAGACCAAAAGGTCGTGCACGGCCCCGGCTATTCCAGTTGATGTGGCGCCAACTCCACCTCTCCAGAAGTCTCGAAAAGGTCTGCTCATGTCTTCCTGAAGGTCAGGTTGAAAAATGTCCTCAAGGACAAAGGGACGGGAAAGGCGAAGCAGTGGTTGCCCGGGCACAGGAAAACCACAACCAAATTGGGTTGGCAAAGCAAAGCGCGAGCGAAGTCGTAGTGCGGGCGAAGAAATCGGGCTCCCAAAGGAATCCGCCAGACGTAGTCCGTAGTTCACGAAGAAAAGATCGAGGAAAAAGGGCCAGGTGCCGGGGCCCCCCGGCGCAGGTCCCACACGTCCGGAGGAAGTGTCGTCACCGCGGCTCCGCTACCATGAAATGCCGCGCCGCCAGCGTACCTTTTCAGGCAAAAGGACAGGCTCAAGGGCCCTCAAGTAGTTGGGCCGACACACCGACGCGGCAGGTTCAGGACCGGACATGAGAAGGTTGCATGCCGTTCGACACCAGCAGCATGCAGCAACAATAGCGACACAGCCAAGGTTAGCAAACGGCATCAAAAAAACGACATCAACACTGAGATTGCCACCGCCACCACCACCACCACCAACAACAAGAACAACAAGACCCGCTTGACTTTGACAAACGTGCATTTATTGCCAAAGTCTCCTCCACTAATGCCAATTCTCGATTGGTCGTCTGACTGTCCTCTTGTGCCCCTCAGCAACCCAACACACTTGAGAACAAAGTGCGGCGATCGGTCAGCCAATGTCCCAACCAAACCTCGATGTGAAAGCGACCCAAGTATATACACCGGCCAGGAAATAGATGGCGCAGCGCGAGGAGTAATAGATTGCGTCCAACTTTCCTTTTTGTGGACGCCCCAAGATTGAGATTTTGCCAAAGATTGAGATTACCAATTCAGCCCACCGATCAGTAGATGGCGCAACCTCTCATCTAGCGTCCTTTCCATTCATGTCCCCCTCCTATCCATGTACTTTCCCTCTCATTTCCTGTCGTTTCCTTTCCCTATCCTTACTGTATCTTTCCCTTCCTCGTCCCTTTGCTTTCTCTTTCCTCTTCTTGCCCTTTCCACTCCTTCACCTCTTCTTTCCCTAGTCCTCTCTCCTCTCCCCTTTCCTTCACTTTTCCTTTCCCCTTCCGTTGCTTGTCCTTTTCCCGTTCCTTTGACAGCCAGAGCCAGGAAACCAATAGCTGAGCCAATAGATGGCGCAACTCTTCCCTTTGCTTTCCCTTTCCTTTTTCTTTCCTGGATTTGTCCCTTCCCTCTCCTCCTTCCCTTTTCCTTTCCTGTGCTTTCTGTTCTTTTTCTTCTCCTGTTGTTTCCTAATAGGGGTGATGAATGCACCCCCTCGTTGGGTTACAAGAAGTAGCAAAGGAACCAGTAGATGGCTCAACCTTTCCCTTTATGCCCCCGTCCTGTCCATGTCCTTTCCCTCTCATTTGCTTTTGTTTCCTTCCTGTTGTTTCCTGTCCCTATCCTTATCTTTCCCTTTCCCTTCCTCTTCCCTTTGCTTTCTCTTTCCTCTTCTTTCCTTTCCACTCCTTCACCTCTTCTTTCCCCAGTCCTCTCCTCTCCTCTCCTCTTCTCTCCTTCATAGACGGTTTTTTTCACGGGATAGCGCTAAAAGTCAATTTTGGCAAACCCCACCAGCTTTTACAGGAATCTGTCATTTTCCATGTTGGAAACCCTACATGGATGGCTCAACCACCCCTGGTTGAGCCCACCACTATGCAAAATAGGCCTGTTTTGCATAAGGGTAGATGGTGCAACCCAATTTTCGACAACCATCTATTTCCCCCCCCCAGAGTAATACAACGGGGTTACACCATCAAAGTTTCAGCGAAGTGAGTACATCTTCAAGCGTGAGCGCCGACCTACGTCGGCCAAACCAGCCTCGTGAATCAACAATAGCCGCAGCAGCGGCAAAAAGCACACGTTAGTAGCAGCAGGTGGTGGTCTTTGCTCTGGGGCTTTCACGCAAATCTCTACCAACAACAATGACAACCACACCAAGGACGACCACAAGAACAATATGGGTTCTGAGGTGTGCGGGAATGAATATGTGTCCGGTTGTCCAACACTACCCCTGAGCCCTTAGTAAAGCTTCATTTGACTTGATCATTGCATTTCCTAGCATGTGCTGGCAGGCCTCCAGACTCTAAACGTAATTGCCTCTGAACATCTCTGAACGAACAACTGCTAAACAAACCTGTCTGGAAGACCGTGCTGTTGTGGGACTGGTCGGAGTCTTTGCTTGTCAGGACCCACTTACGATTCTTCTCAGCCTGCTGCGCTAGAATTGCTACATAGCACGTAGCTTGGGGAGAGCATTTTTGCTCTAGAATGCTGTGTTTTTGACGTTTTTGAAAGCGGATGAAACATCAGCAATCCATCTCTGATGTCAGTTATGCTGTCCCAGTGCGATTGCACTATTGACATCCTGTGTGCTTGCACCTGTGGAGACCGACCGAGAAAGACCGACCGAGACAAACACATGCACACTCTCCGTGCGGGCGGCTTCGACCGCGAAGCGGTGTGAATACTGCCAGGTATGTGATCGAGCATGTCTGCACTTATTGCTCAAAAGCTTCGAACATAGTGCTGCTGCAGCCCTGCGGAACCTGTCCAAACCGAGCGACCTTCCAATATCGGTGGTGACACGCGGCAACCGTTGCTGTGAAGGCGACGACGTCCTGCTGTTACAGGCAAGGCCACAAGGCCCCTTCCAAACTTGGCGGCAAGTGTTTGATCAAGCCCTTCTGTGTCACACCAAGTCCTGCTGCACCACACAGCTGGACATCTCCGTCAGCAAGTTCAGCCTCAAATGACGTGATGGCAAAGTTAATCATCACGGTATAGCCATGTCCCAAATTCGATCAGAGGGGTCCTGGCTTGGAGGTACTAATCACTCCTAACCAACCTCTCTGAACTCGGCTGCCAGAACCTTTCTCACTCACCCTGGTTTTTGGTACCCCTTTCCCTCAATGACCCACGTCTACGCGAGCCTTGCCCTGTCAGGCAACACGGTTGGCTCCAGTCAATCAAACACCTCTACACCTTTGCGGCAACACTGTCGAACAAGAAGGCAGAATTAACTCTTGGCCCCATGCTTGTCTTTGGTTGTGCTTGGATCATCTAAGCAATACGTTTCATGCTAGACGTATACTATGATGATTGAACCATGTTGAACCGGCCTTTGTTGAACCGGCCTTTGCAAGTTCGAAACACATCAAAACACTAACTTTTTCAAGCTGGCGGCTTAACTGAGGCTCCAACCCAACATGCCACAAAGAACCGTCTGAGGCAGCGCCGACTGCAAGATTGTGAGCAACGCCACCTCACCACCACAGACCAGAGCCAGACCCAGTGACAAACCTGGCTCTTTCTGGCGAAGTCTATAAGTCTATAAACGCACCGCGAGGCGACGTGGACGCCAGGCGGCCCTGTCAAGATTGGGCTCTTCCGTTGCGAAAGTCAACCTGTGCATGAAACCTGGCACGGGGAAAGAGTGGAAGTGTAGCCGGGCCGCTATGGTGCAATGGTGTGGTGCTTGCGGCCTTTTCATCCATCATGTTTGGAGGGTCCAGTACGATGGGTCCAGCGGTCTTGCGGTGGAAGATGTGTCACGCGTGGCCAGCAATGCTGGCACACGGGCTTTCATGGAGCCAGCAGGCAGGTTCCCCCTCGCCGAAAATAGCAAAGACGGAGCTTTCTTGCGAGGCCTCGCCAAACCCATGGATAACTCAGCAGGATCTAGACCCGCAGGAAATCTTAGCAATGCGAATATATATATATATAATCTCGACAGCACTGCGCCTGCCGCCTGAATTTAAAGTATGTAGAGTATCACTCTCAATGCACGCTTGGAAGTGAAACACGTCCGATCTCCTGCGCCTACAACAAAATCAAAACCTGAAAACGCGCACGGCACCACGACGGGCGCCTACCTTACAACTGCGGCCCTGACATGCAGGGTGTGCCCGGTGGCGACTTTGGGGCCTTTTGCGTGGCGCTGGCGTGAAATTTTGCTATGACGATAGCGCGAAACCACGATCTGTTATTGGATTACCGATCTCTTTTTGTTCTTGCCGGAAGAAGCCCATAGCGTTGCTAGATGTCGCGAAGTCTTTGAAGAAGAAATGCGCCCAGGTTACCCTACCAGTTAACAAGCTAGCTACCAGTTAAATAAAATAGCTCAGCTGCCCGCTTCTTTGCAACTGGCGGCTTGTGAGCTCCTGATGCATCCATGAGACAAAAAGAGCAAACCATAGCTCAGAGCTGACGCAGCTAGGCCAGGCCAGAGCACGGCCAAAGCGTCCTGGAAAAATCGCAGTGCCTGAAGCCACTGCGCTTGTTCTGCGCAAGTGCTCATTGCGGCCCCGAATGTGATAGTCGATGGATTCTGGGCGGAAAGACTGAAACACTACAGTAACAGTACTTGAATTCAATTCCTATTTTTCATGCAGCTTCGAATGTTCTGAAAATGCTGGCTGAGGGCAACGGTGTCAATCTGCATGTAGTGGAGGAGGCCTGCGCTTCTGAACCCGAAATCAAGAAACTATACAACATGACTGGTGACAAACAGCTGGTCTGAAAAATATGTCGCTCCAACAGTGCCTCTGGCCTCCTGCCTGCATCCACCCATGAATGGAGCCGCCCGAAGACACAAGTGTATTTAGAATCACGACGTTGCGCTCCACGCTATCAAACTCACAGTTCTGCCTGAGATGAACTGAAGTAGAAACATTGCAGCGTGTCAGTGCAGGTGCTCTCGCAACGTAATACACGATACACCAGCCAATCATGCAAATTACAGGAGTTGCGATGCTGAAGGCCATTGAGTTCTGCCAAACCCACCGATTGCACTACCTCAGCCGAATAATTAATGTGTTTACAACCAGCCATTCGTATGTGCTTGCATGTTGCAGGGCATCAAAATCTGACATGGAACCACATGTAAGGTTCATGGTTTTCACACATCGCAGAATCCTAACAGTCGATGCCTGCATAAAAAAATGGCATCTTTCGCGCATCCCAGGAATCTCCTCAGAGAACGGCATCCTTATTGCAACGAAATCTTGTTCCAACGGGGTTGGGGAGAAACATTTTTGCGAGCTGGGACATGGCTCACGCCACTGAAAACAAACAAACAATGTGTTGTTTCACAGCACGGCCGCCATGGGTGCGCGCGCAAACCCAAAAAGTCTTGGACCGTTGCCACAACAACTTCCAGGAAGTAAAACAACAAGCGACACAACAACCCAGCATTCCCTGCTCCCTTGTCATGTTTAGATGGGCCAGCCCACACTGCGCAGGACATATGAACGAGAATCAAGCACCCTCAGCACGAGCAAGCTCGGCCCAAACTGCAGAGGGTGAGATCCAAACAAGCGTCGCAAAGTTTTCTAAGATCGTAGCCGCTAAATGATGCGAGCTGCGAACGCTTAGCAAGAGCTGCAGTCATTGCTTTTTTTCACCAGATAGCGACAACTATGGGGTTGTTACTTCAAATGACAATGAGTTGCCCGTGCGCGCTTTCGAGACAGGTTGCTGGTGCTGGGCGCCGGTGCTGGTGCTGGGTGCCGGGTGCCGTGCTGGTGCTGTGAGCTGGCTGTGCACGCGGTGTTGCTGGTGCCGGTGCTGGTGCTGGGTGCCCGGTGCCGGTGCTGGTGCTGTGAGCTGGCTGTGCGCGTGGTGGAGACAGGTTACTGGTGCTGGTGCTGGGTGCCGGCGCTGGGCGCCGGGTGCCGGTGCGGGTGCTGTGAGTTGGCTGTGCACGTGGTGGAGACAGGTTGCTGGTTCCGGTGCTGGTGCTGGGTGCCGGTGCTGTGAGCTGGCTGTGCAAGTGGTGGAGACAAATTGAAGGTGTTGATGGTGGTGCTCGGCGCCGGGTGCCGGCGCTGGTGCTGTGAGCTGGCTGTGCGCGTGGTGGAGACAGGTTGCTGGAGCTGGTGCGGGGTGCCGGTGCTGGGTGCCGGGTGCCGGTGCTGTGAGCTGGCTGTGCCTGTGGTGGGGAAACGTTGCTGGTGCTTGGTATGGGGTGCTTACTTCAATCAACAATGAGCTGCCTGCGCGCGCTTTCGAGACAGGTTGCCGGTGCCGGCGCTGGTGCTTTGAGCTGGCTGCGCACGTGGTGGAGACAGGGCTGGCGCTGGGCGCTGGCTGTGCGCGAAGTGGAGGCAGGGTGCCGGGTGCCGGTGCCGGGCGCCGGCGCTGGGTGCTGCGTGGCTGAGCTATTATTTTTGGGGTGCCGGTGCCGGTGCCGGGTGCTGGTGCTGGCTGTGGTGCTGGTGCTGGGTGCTGTGAGCTGTCTGTGCGCGTGGTGGAGACACGGTGCCGGTGCTGTGAGCTGGCAGTGCACACTGGCGCGCTTTCGAAAGGGTGTCTGGTGTTGTGGTCCTGGGTGCTGGTGCTGTGAGCTGGCTGAGCGCGCGTTTAAGACGGGCGGCGTCGGGTGCTGGCGCCGCAAAGCGCACCGGTGCTGGTGTCAGCTGATTGTGCGCGCTGTGGAGGTAAGCTGGCTGTGCAGGCTGCGTACATTCTTGTTCCAGCCAGTCGCATGTCAACAGGTCGTGGGATTCTGCCTAGCTATCTGGGTCTATGCTGGTGTTATTTTCTAACTGGTACTCTTGGTTCAAAGCACCAGGGCCCGTCCCGCCAACAAAAGATTGCGCGCGAATGGTCTGCTACGCTATCGAACAAATTGCGCCTGCAAGTTCGGCATACAAAGAATCTCTGGCCCGCTACAGTATTGAATCACACCGGTGCTATAGTGGCGACAGTTTGCATCGTTGGGGTGAGGCAAGGCGCGATTGGCTGTTGTCTTCACTCCAAGCTCTTCTACTTTCAGCTGACATCCGCATGGAAATTCTCAAGTTCAAAAATAGCCAACCATGGTGGTGAACAAAGTTCTCCAAGAACAACCAACATGTCACGGTGCGTGCGAATTATGGGCACAAAATGGAAATCGATGGGCTGTAGCACACGGGACAACTTTTGCAACGGCATCTTGGCGTGATATGCGCCAACATGCGGTTGTAGGACCCCATAAAACTGGCAATGCGCGTGGGCAGTCTGGGCAGCTGGCCGTAGGTGACTTCATCCACGCACACTTCTTGTGCCCGTCCCTGGAAAAGCAATGCAAACGTTGCAGCCCACTGCGTTGACGTCTCGCAAGCGCTCAGCGCAGCCTGGGTTGCTGTGGCACACACACTGGGGAAGAGTTTTTCGGTGGAACAGTGGAAGGATGTCAGAGCCCAGAACCTTCTAAGTCCACAACCTCCAGTGTGTGTGGGCGGAGCCGTCAGTGAATTGCGAGAAATCAACCTGGTGAGCCTGCAACAGCCTGAACATTTGGGTCAACAACTAAGGAAGTTCAAGCACCTGGATGAACAGCAGAGAAAAATTCAAACATTGTTCCACTGCGTCAGCATCAACTGATACCCTCTTCTTTGGACGAGCCATATCAGCGGTGACCCGTCTCCCTGTTGCTCTCAAACAAGCACTAGGCAGTCTGGTCAGGCTAACAAGCTTTCCGCGTGTGACAGCGGTTTACACTTTGATTCATAAGGAAGGTGAGTTTCAGTGGTCTTCAGGAATGAATACTTGGTTCTTGACTTGATGGAACGGCAAGGTGAAGCGTCAGCAACAGTTATTGTTTAACAGTCGACCAGGAATGAATACTTAGCCCTTGACTTGATGGAACGGCAAGGTGAAATGTCAGCAACAGGTATTGTAACCTTGAAAATTGCGGGGCAACATCAGGTACATGAACCACCATGAAACAAACCAAGGGACCGCAGCAACTGAGCAAGAGTTAAAGCAGGTACAGGTGGATGATCAGTCCACCCTTCCCTCGGTATGACGAGCCGTACGCCCCGCTGGTAAATGGAAAAGTGAGGGCTCCTAGATACAGAGGTTGACGCACACACACACACAGTGAGCCGCATAGCGGCGCACTCTCGCCCTAAAGAGGAAACAACGCAGTAGACAGCTTCGGCGTTACTTAGGTTCTAGACATTACACATGAGTAAGCTGGGGAGCACTTGACTAAAAAGACCTGGTTACGCACCTAAAAAGCCTCGGCTAGAAGAAAGTCAGACCTAGAAAGAGAAACGAAAGGCAAGAAAGAAAGAAACGAAAACCGAGGGGTAGGGTCGACTAAACGAGCCTCAAGACCAACCTAACAATCTGAAAGAAACGCCTAACAAACGAAGAAAAACGCAAGAGAGAAAAAAGGGGGGGTGGGGTTGGGGTGTGTTTGAAAATCCGAAGTCATGGAAAACATCGCATGAATCCACATGGAAAGTCGCGTGAGACGAAGGATTGATTGACGTAGGTTCCAGTGAGCGATCTCCGTGAGCTTGGCAGCTATGATAACAGTTGATCCGTGAACATCAGCTGAACAGAAAGCGGCTACGAGTGCACATACGCTTTTCAGAAAGACAAAATCCGGAATGGCTTCAGAGCCCCTTGCGGGGATCACATTGCACACCCAAGTGGGAAGATGCAGCAGGTCACACTTTGATTCATAAGGAAGGTGGGTTTCAGTGGTCTTCAGGAATGAATACTTAGCCCTTGACTTGATGGAACGGCAAGGTGAAGCGTCAGCAACAGGTATTGTTTAACAGTCGACCAGGAATGAATACGTAGCCCTTGACTTGATGGAACGGCAAGGTGAAATGTCAGCAACCGGTATTGTTTAAACTTGAAATTGCGGGGCAACATCAGGTACATGAGCCGCCATGAAACAAACCAAGGGACCGCAGCATCTGAGCAAGAGTTAAAGCAGGTACAGGTGGATGATCAGTCCACCCTTCCCGCGCCATACCGTAGCTTCACTGCGTGCGGTGGGTATGACGAGCTCGTACACCCCTGCTGGCAAATGGAAAAGTGAGGGGTCCTAGATACGGAGGTTGCGCCGGCCTGAGTTAAAAAACCTAAGACACCAGGACGAATAGTAGGTTAATGGCCATCGTTGTTAGGAAGGAGGTCATCGCAAGGCCGTTGGGGGTCAACGCCTAAGGTTAGTGGCCGTCGCTAGTAGGTGGTAGGTAGTATGCACAAACCAACAAAAGTGACAAATAGTAGGTTAGAGGCCGTCGCTTTTTGGTTGGAGGCCATTGCAAAGCCGTTGGGGGCCAAGACCGAAGGTTGGAGGCAGTTTGCACAAGCAAAACAAAAGTGACAAATAGTAGGTTAAAGGCAATCGCTTTTTGGTTGGAGGCCATCGCAAGGCCGTTGGGGCCAACACCTAAGGTTGGAGGCCGTCGCTAGTAGGTGGTGGGTAGTATGCGCAAGCAAGACAAAAGTGACAGCGAGCAGCAAAGTTGGAGGTCGTCGCTGGTAGGTTAAGAGGCCATTGTACCAGGTTCGAGGCCAGTGCTACCAGGTTACAAGAAACACAAGACAGCTAAAGTTGGGGGCCAATGCTAGCGCCAAGGTCCACGTTACAAGGTTGGGGGCCGCACTCGCATTCGCAACGCCCACTCTCGCTCTCATTCACATGGGCGCTCATTCTCACTCACGCTCATATTCACTCGCTCACTCACTCACTTGATGCGTGCTCTCAGATGTGTGCTCTCTGGATCTCTGTCTGGTGATTCACACTCAATCTAGACCTCTGTCTCCTGGCGTGGTTCCACCCAGGCGCGCTTGGCACTGTGGGCCACTCACTCATGCATCACCCATTCACTACCTTGATGTGTGCTCTGGTGGCTGTGTCCTCAGATGTGTGCTCTCCTTGATCTTCTGCTCTCTCATTCGCACTCATAACGCCCACACTCATTCGCACTCACGCTCGCTGCACCTCCTCCTGCGACCACTTTATGTCATGAATGCGTATGAAACACACTCCACACTGTTTGGGGTCTCTTACCGGGATAAAGCAGTGAGGTTGGATACGATCAGTGAGTATTGCCCGCAGTGACCAGTGCGCAGCTGGGTGGAACCACGCCAGGAGACAGAGGTCTAGATGTCCAGGAGTCTGAGTCACCAGACGGAGATCCAGAGAGCACACATCTGAGAGCACAGTCACCAGAGCGCGCATCAGATCAGCAAACTCACACTCTGCTGTACCTGTCACGAAATCCGCGCTTCGAGGTGCACCATGCAAGCGCTGCGCCTGCCACGAAATCTGCACTTCGAGGTTGCTGCGCCTGCCACGAAATCTGCACTTCGCGGTTCACAAAGTGCTGTACCTGTCACGAAACCTGCACTTCGAGGTTCACAAAGTGCTGCACCAGCCACGAAATCTGCACGTCGAGGTTCACAAAGTGTTGTGCCTGTCACGAAACCTGTTCGAGGTTCACAAAGTGCTGCACCTGCCACGACATCTGCGCATCGAGGGTCACAAAGTGCTGTGCCTGCCACGAAATCTGCACTTCGAGGTTCACAAAGTGCTGCACCTGCCACGACATCTGCACTTCGAGGTTCACCAAATGCTGTGCCTGCCACGAAATCTGCAAAGGAGTCACATCTTCAAAAGTCACGATTCACTGCACCTGTCACGAAATCTGAGCTCCTCGACGATCACCACCATGTCCAAAGTGCTGCGCCTGCCACGAAAACTGCATTTCGGGATTAAAACACCTCCGATCCTTTGCACCTGTCACGAAAAGTCGACTTCGGAGCACCGAGGCTTCCCTTGCGCCTGCCACGAAAAGTCACCACCATGTGCGAAAATGCGCACGGCGCCACAACGAGAGCGCAGTGGCGACAAGCGCACGCTCCAGCCACCCAGATTCTGCGAGCCTGCGCTGTAAATAGCAGCGAATTAGCCGGTCACGCCCGCCCTCCTCAGCGGTCTAAGCCTCAGCTGCTTACTGTTTGGTGAAAAATTGAACTATCTATCTATCTATCCGTCTCTCTATCTTTCTCTATCTCTTTGTCTACCAACCTACCAACCTGCCCATCTATCAATGTATCTATCTATCTACCTATTCTGTTGTATTCTGTTTTTTCTGTTCTATTCAATTCTATTCTGTCTATCTATCTATCTATCGATCGATCGATCTAATCTACTCTACTCTAATCTAATCTAATCTAGTTTAATATGTCATTGGTGTTGCGCTGGCCGCGGTCTTGCTTGCCACGCGTTTAAGTCAGCGGTCCTAATTCGTGCTATGTTGTGCTATGTTCACCAAGCATTTGTACCAGAAGCTGCTGACCTGTGTGGGCTGCGCTGACGAGGAAATTCCGGGCGTGTCATGTGATCAGCCTTTGTGGAGATGACGTCGGGGTTGCAGGAAGACCGCAAGTCGTCCACAGGGTCAACAAATCAGCGCCGCTGCGGACAATACTTGTTGCATGTTTGCCCAAAACGTGTTCAACTTCAGGCCAGGTGCGTTCAGTGAAAATGACGTGGTCTGGACAAGTTCCAGGTACATGGTGCGCAAAAGGCCCAACGCAGCCTGCCATGATGTCCCGCAGCAGGTGATCAGCGAGTTGCAAGAGACGGCGTCGATACGGACAGCAGTTTGACCAATCCTCCTTGGCTATAAGCAGGACCTATAGTTAAAGTTGTAGAAGCACTTGGAATGCAGCCAAGAGTCTGCAAGATTTCCACGCCATCATTCCAACAAAGCGCCTGTGAGCTCCACAGCGCATTGCATGTGATAGTGTTCAGCCTCACCTTTGCAGTTTTGCGTAGCAAAACAAATCGTGAAAACAATCTTGCAACTGTGCCTGATTTAGTCTAATTTCACTGTCTGTCTGCGACAGCAGGCTTTGGGAAGCTAGGGGTCTCACTTGCGTGGCTCTCATGAATAGTAGCATTGAGGCCACTCCTCTCCATTGACATGTAGCGCACGCGCTGACCACAGAGCCGCAAGCCACTACGTTGGGTGATAGTGCGCAGCTCGAAAGTTCACAAAACAAAGCCAAGGCTGCTGCCCACTTGTGGCTCACAGTGTTGATCATGCAGCTATAGCTCACGATGTCGCCCTCAATTTGATGCTTGGACATGGCTGTCAACATGCCGAGTCCAGTGCACCAAGCAACTGTTTTCAGGCTGCCGACAGCAGCCAGGCTGCTGATGGCGATGCTGAAATTGATTTTGTCAGGGCAAGGCCTGTGCTGAAGAGCCCAAGCCAGTGTGGACAGGGCTGCCCCCCACAAGCTTTGAGCCTTGCATGCGCTCAGGACGTGACTCAAGCCAATCTGCTCTGGAACTGTCGCTGTCAGCTGCCAATGTGCCAAGCGGCTCTGCTTAAATGATTGTTGAAGCATTCATTTGGCACTGCGTGCCCCCAGACTAGCGCAATGTGCGCAGTTTATCAAAGAGTTGGCCTTGTGCTGCTGGGGTCAAAAAATGATCTGCTTGACGCAAGCGGCGCAACGCCAGCTGATGGAGCACTAGCATCGCCATGCAGGGAGCTGAAGCTCTTCAAGTAAGTTTTTGCAAAAATAACTTTTTGAGGGCAGGCTGTCCCACACCTAAACCCTCTAGCCGCTCTAGCCATCGCTCCTATATACTCTGCCGTTCTGATGTCGGTGCTGAACTTTCAAGCAATTGGACGTTATGTTAGTTAGACCAGTGAAATATGGTTTGCTTCCTGTCTTTGTTTTTTGCGCTTGAACTCTCTCTTTCTCTCTGAGTTTCCTTGCGCTGCAATGCCCGCCCTATGATCCCGTCACTGCTGATGCAACATGAACCAACACAAAAAAACCAGTTCTTCTTTCCTTTTATCCCCAAGAGCAAACAGAGAGGCAACGTCGCCAGCTCATTGGCTGGAGAGGTCCGGCTTTGTTTGTGGGGCGCAGTCTTCAAAGAAGACGTGAGAACATGAACACGTCGCCAAGAGGCGTTCTAGCAACGCGAAGCTCATTGTCCAGAAACGTTGTAAGTAGCCTTAGAACCACGATGGTGTCTTGCTCTTGCGCTAACCAACATGTAATGTGCCCGAACAAACACAAACGCTGACGCACACACACACACACAAACGCGCACGCACGAGAAGTTGGTATGCGCGGAAACCTAAGTGACCGGCTGCGCCGCAAGTACTAGGTAAATGTGCCGCCCGAGTGTTGAAGCCGTTCGGTCTCAGAATGGTTCCATTTTATGGCCTTCCTTTTGCCTGCGGGTGATCCGTGGTATGGACGGCGGCTGTCGCAGCTAAGAACACAGAACATCACCCATCTTTTCGAAACAACATAGTAATTCATAGTGCCTGCGGAAGGATGTAGGTGAGGCGTGCAGAATCGTGTAGACTTCATCCTGAATTGGCCTTGTTTGGTAGGGTTGACACAGCTTGAAGCGAAAAGGGTTTGCTGGGAAGAAACCTGAACCCCTCTGCTATGTTTTTTAAAAGCAACCTGGCCAACAAATGGGCTTCCCCAACTAGAGGGCCACGAGCTATGCTGTACTTTGCCAGGCTGTTGAGTGTGAGGATTTGCTTCGTGGATGACAATGTTGCAAAGTATTTCAGTGGCAGGCAGGCTTGGTGTCGGTCCCTGCCCTGAATCGCTCTAGGCCCCTATGTGCTGGATTTGGGTTCAGGCTCTGTTATACTTCATACGTACATGCAAAATTACATGCATGCATGCATAATGCAGCCGTACCCGCATACTGGCTGACTGACTGACTGACTGTCTGTCGCAGAATACCCTGTCACATGATAAAGCTTCCAATGCCCGCGATCGTCGATACCGTTCTTCTCAACAGGTGGGTGGGCAGGGTTCATGAGCCTGCGCCGCGCGCCGGAAAACGTGCGGCGGTCGTGGTGTGGCCTCGAAGGGCAAACTGGTGCAGGGCACCGTGGCTGTGTTACATTGTCAGTTGACATAGTGTTGAAGGACGCGGTCGTCCAGGAAAGGCTATGTCTACCAATCACATGTGTGATTGGTAGTGGTAGCGGAGCCAGTCGCTCCTTATAGGGGGCTGTCAGGAGCCTGTTGATGGGGGACGCTTGGCTGCTCAGGTTGCAAGCAGTGGGATCTCAATTGGTGCAACTTGTGCCGACATTGGACCTGGGAGTCGACAGTGTTGAGCAGTGGCGTCAAAAGAACACGAGAGGATCAGCCTTTCAAAAGCTAGAGCTCCGGCAAAACGAAATACACCGCCGGCAGGAAGGACAAGGCATTGAAAACATACGATCACTGCTGAAGACTTGGAAAATGAAGGGGGTCTCTACAGGGCCAACGCCGAAGAACCTTGGGGCGAAGACAGTCTTGAGTTGTTGGCCAACGATGACCTGTGAATGAGACGATCCAAGAAAACGCCGAGTTACCAGGATTCTACTTCTGGAAATTCAAAATGGTGGTTTCAACAAAAGGCTATTGCAAAAAGGGGATCAAGTACGACAGAACCTGGAAAAATCAAAATCGCCCAGAAACTGTGCCACGGCTTGAAGGCTGGAGAAATTTCTGTAAAAAGACCGTCGAGGGATCACTTAGAAGCCATGACAGGGAGTTAATGTGAGCACTATCGGGGTAAGGAAAGTCCAGAGCTTGAACAACACTTTTTTGTGCTTCCACTCACCTCGCTTGGGGATTTTTGCCAGCAATAAAGAAAGCAGAGGGTATTTCGAAGAATACCCTGTCACATGATGAAGTTTCCAATGCTCGTGACCGTTGATACCTTCCATCTCAAGGGGTGGGTGGGAGGGTTCATGAGTCTGCGCCGTACACCGGAAAACGTGCGTATCATTGTTGAAGGACGCCGTCGTCGAGGTTGGAGGGAAGGGTTGTGTCTACCAACCACATTTGTGAACATACCTACCTACATACATACATGCATACATACATACATGCGCATGCATCTGGCTCAAGCCGTTTGAGGTCTCAACCTGGTCCAATTCAAATCCAGGCACAGGCAAGATCAGCCATTGGAGCCTAGGCTGGAGGAATCCATCGGCACTGGACCGTTCTTTGCTCGCAATAGACATCCCCGCTCCTGTGGACCTCTACGGCACCCGGCAGTTCTCGCGCTGACCAAGTCCCAGGACAACCTGCTGAACGAGTGCTTCACTCATCTTCCCCATTCGGGAGATTGTCATCTACCACTTTGCCCGTGATCCCTACTTCTCAAAGTACCTTCCAGGCCAGAACGTAGAGCGCGAGGGCATCCGGCAGATGGCTCCAGCAGGATCGTGGTGCAGGACGTACACTGTCTGCAGCCAAAAGCAATGCAGAAACTGGATCTGGGACGACAAGAAAAACCCAGGCACCCGTTGTAGAAGATGTGGAACATGGTGGCAACAAGGCCAGTCACCAACAGGCAAAGGAAAGGGACAAGGACATGGCAACGGCAAGAGCTACATGAACTCAATAGGTTCAAGCCTTTGAAGAAGACGAAGAACCAACAATCTGCAGCGGAACTCTTGGCCACAACGTGGGAAGTGATTCCAAGTGAGATCCAAAACAAACTGGCAGCTCTTGGACTTGGACCACCTCCGCAGGAAGAACCGGGCCTAGCTGAAATCCTGCAGACGCACCTGAGTGCACTACCACAAGCGGTACAAGATGTTGTGAACAAGCTCAATCAGCCATTGCCAGACACTGAGAAAGAGCTGGCTCAGAAACTCAAAACGCAAGTCACCGAGCTCAAAACGATTTCAATGAAGAAGGCACAGTTACAAATGAAGCTGCGTCAGACGAAGAGCCAATATGCAGCCATGCTACAAGATATGCAGGAGCACCAAACCCGGCTCAATGAAGGACAGCAAAAACTCAAGACTCTGTCCGAGCAGTACATGCAGGCTGTCAACAAGACGCCATTTCCAGCTGCACTAGGCACTCAAGAAGAACCAGAGCTGCCAATTCCCATGGCAGTTGAAATCTTCGTGAACAGCTTGGGACTCACGCTAACCGAAGAACAGCGTTCCCAACTCCATGGTCTACTCAAACGACCAGGACAAGAAGCAGACGAAGCCAGCAAGCGCAGGAAAACGGAGTCCACAGCATCACCAGTGCCTGCAGGACAGTGCGGGTAACACAGAGTTTCAACTTCCAGGTTTCAAGGGCTCCAGGTGCCGGTACCCCTTGATGAGTTCGAAATCGCACCAACACCCAATTTGGTTTGCCGCGCTGCCTCAAGATCAGCCACGGCGGGGGAACAGCAAATGACATACTGTGCATGGGGGCATCCTGATCCTGGGAGACCAATCCTGTGGCCTCACGCCTCTTGAAGCCTTCACTCTGCAGGGATGTGGCTACCAGGCCTTCTTGTGGCAGGCCACAGAATGTACCATCCTTGTTGCTGGAGTCGAAAACATCGGAGAGCATTCAATCAGACACCAGTGCTACGATCATTGCCAAACTACTTGCATTGGTAGAGGCTACTACCCATCCCTACATCCTCCTTCAGGATTGGCAAAACAACCCAGGAAGCTTCACCAGCACTGTACTTCCGTCCAAATTCACTTTGAGGTAATGGCTTCTGATCATAGCATCCTCTCCGGCAACGCCATTGATTATGCCCTGCTGCGCAACACACTTGCAGCCACAACAGCCATCACCACAGATTGGGCAGTTCCGTGGAGACCTCATGCACTCATCACACTACATCTCAACATTCAAACTGCCACCGAGGACTTCCCGCCAATGCCGGCCACACCAGACATAGACTTCAGGCCCTGGACTTCCTATCAGTCCCAGGCCTTTGAGATTGAGCTGTATGGCAACCCGCCAAATGCTCTGACTCAAAGATGGGCAGACTGGATCTCTTGCACCGAGCAGTACTTGCTCCAGGAGCACCCGTGGGCGGCCCAGGGTAGGGGAGCAAGTCTTCAGGCCGTGATCAAACCTCTTGTCTTCACGAAGATCACCACCACGTGGAAAAGGGGACGGCCAGCGTTTTGGGAACAACTGCAGGTTCGATTCCAGTTGGCAGTCAAGCAACCCACCACGATGACAGCAGGTCCCATTCGTGGTTTTCATGCAAGCACTACAAGATGTGGCAAAACATTGGATCGGCCCACCCACGTGGGGTCAACTGCTCGATACCAGTCACCACTGGTACCAATACAGAGACCCTCATGCAGCTGATCTTGTCCAGCACACCATAGCACATCAGCTGAAAGAAGCACAGCAGGCCGCCAATGATGAAAATCACCTGCAATACAAAGAATGGCTCAAACAGGGAGAAGCCAAAGGACTTCGAGGCCTCTTTCGCAGTCTCAAAAGCAGCGAATTGGCATGGGAGCGCCCCTACCGAAATCTGCCACCTGATGAGAGGATGACCCAAAGACTTCATGACTGGGGAGAGCTTTGGCAGATTCGACAAACCGACCAACCACATGAGCGACCCAGCATCAGGAAGCAAGCGCAACAACAGGCACAACAACTTGAACCCTTGACTGTTGGGCAGCTAGCCTGGGTCCTCAAGCATCTTCCAGACAAATCCTGTGGACCAGATGCAGTCACAGCTCAGCTCCTGAGGAATGCACCACCTCTTGCTCTACAACCGTTGCTCAAGCTCTTTCAAGAGATGGAGGCACAGGCCCTGTTGCCAACCCAACAGCAGATGCACATGGTTGTCACGCTACCCAAGAACAGCAGCAAGGAGAGACCCATCACACTCACCTCGGTGCTGTACCGCGTGTGGTGTCATCTCAGAAAGCCTTTGCTGGACCAGTGGCAAAAGCAACTCCCCACATCCATGGACCACGACAGAGCTAGACCGGGGGCTCAGGTACTACAAGTAGCTCTTGAACGTCTTCTACGACAAGAAGTCCACAGAGCCAACGGCTGCCATGGAGTCACCTGTCTTCTGGACATGTGACCTTCTATGACACGATCAACCTCACCAGATTACAACAAGAGGCATTGCAGCTCAACTATCCGCCCTTGATGCTCGAGCTTGCTATGCAGTTGTACACTGGCCCCAAAGCCATTGTAGCCGAGCAAGAGATGATTCCCTTTTTCACCGCCCAGAATGGAGTCCCAGCTGGTTGCCCACAAGCACCACTACTAGCCAAGGCAGTTCTGGCACCAGCGCTCCAACCATGGAAGCTCCAAAATCCGACAGTGCATCTCTCCAGTTGGGTGGATGATGTTGGGTTTGACACTGCAGGCAAATCCCCAATCGAGGTGGCAAAGACTGCAATCAAGGCCTACAGAGACCTCCAGCAAAGACTAGTGGAACTTGGCCTCAAAGTCAATCCACAAAAAACTGCCTTCATAGCGACCGACAAGGCCACAGACAAAGCACTCCGGGCCTTCCTGCAACCAGGTGAACCACCAGTGCAACCAGTCATGAGAGACTTGGGGGTCGATCACCAGGCAG